GTCTCTATGTGAGCAGGGCTGCCAATAATGGTTTTTACCCCTAGATCTGGGATTTTATTTGCTGCCTTGGGTTCAAATTTTGAAATCTGAGTTTTTAAAAAAATATATCCCTGAATCTTCTTCTTCTTCTTCTCAAGGTAGAAACCTTGTACCTCATCGAAGTGTCGGGGGGAGATGTAATGTACGTTGATGAGCTCTGTCAAGAGCACTATTAAGACTGATGTTCATTTCTGTAAGGTTGTTCTTAATGCCATCACTCCATATTTTCCGAGGTCTTCCACTCGCTCTATACCCGTTGTAAGGTTTTAGTGTGGCTCGATGTGGCAGATATACAAGGGCATTCTTGTTAGGTGTCCTAACCACTTCATTTGTTGTTCTTTGATGACCTGTAAGACTGGCTTTATTCCTAGCATTCGTCTAATTTCGTATTCTGTCTTTCCTTGAAATTCCTGCAGCTCTTCTAAGGAATTTCATCTCTGTTGTCACAATTTTACGTTCATTGGAGGATGTAAGTGTCCACGTTTGGCACTGATAACAAGGTTCTGATAAGATTCACTTTAGTACTCCGAGGTATCTGCTTGTGTGTCAACAGGGGAGATAGTTGCCCATTACTTGATTAGCTTTGGCACATCTGGAGCTAATTTCTCTGTCCAGTTTTCCGTATATCCTTATACAAAGGTCAATAAAGTTTCGTTTCGTAACTATTATATAAAGTTAAATAAATGTTTCGTTTCGTAACAATACAATTTGTACTTTTTAACAATCTGGAGTTTTTTTCCCAGCTCTTTGCCTATGTATTGCTTGGGTTTTTGTTCAGCTTAGCTGGGTTTTTCAAACAAATCATATTGGCAGCCCTGTGTGAGAGCGATGATATTATGCAGAGAATGTGGTTGTGCAGGGTTGTCCATCTTTTTTCGAGTGGCTTGCATCGCTTGATAAGACTCAGGTCAAGAACATATCACTGATTTTCTGTCCATGACATTCGGGTGTGCAAGGTAAAGAGCAGGTTGATAAATTGGCTGCTGCGGCTCCTCTGGGTAGTGAGCCACTTAATGATACAGCGGACACGGCGAAGGCTCTGTTGGATCAACTGTACAGTGCAACAGAACATATCGATCATCCATACATCGACAGACGAATTCGGGGGAGGAGAAAGGGGCCCGAGCGGGGGAGGGGAAGAAATTGGTCGGAGTGGGGGGTGGAGGGAGCAGAGTATCTGGAAGGTATTCAGCACTTATGTGAAAACCATAGGCAGACTTTTACTCAGGTTGCATTTGGCACGACTAGTATATATACTCTTCTTTGGCTACTGAGCGAGGAGAAGGAGCACGTGTAGCAATGTCCCGAGTTCATGGATGTAAAATTCATTCATTCATTCATTCATTCATTCATTCATTCATTCATTCATTCATTCATTCATTCATTCATGTTTATCTTGTCTATGTGTGAGTGTAAAAGTAAAGGAACAAACCTTTCTAGACGCCTTCATGCGTATTGGGCATAAAGGGTTAGACCATATTTTATAGAACAAACAGCACTTGATGTGTGAAGTCAACAACAAAAAAAACAAGCCGGCCACCTTTAATTCCATGACCTTTTCTGGTACCCATTTAAGGCTAGGTCGACCTGAGAGACATGTTGTTGTTGTTACCAAAAAAAAAAGTGATGTGCCCTCGGGACCTGAACCCACCACCTTCGAATCCTTAGGCGAGTGTCTAGGCGCTACACTAGAGCAGCTCTCTTTCTCATGTGAGAGTGGGTGCTAGAATTATTTATTTTGTTTATGTTTGCGAGTGGGTGCTAGAGTTGTTTATTTAGCTTACGGTTAAGAGTGGTTGCTAGAGTTGTTTATCTTGTTTACGTTTGAGTTCAGGTGCAAGAATTGTTTATCTCCTTTACGTTTGAGTTTAGGTGTTAAAATTGTTCATGTGAATACGCAAGAGTGGTTGCTAGAATTGTTTATCAAATCTACATGTGCGTTTAGGTGCTAGAATTGTTCAAATGAATATGCGAGTGTGGTTGCTAGAATTGTTCATGTGAATGTACGCAAGTGATTGCTAAAATTGTTCATCGTGTCTACGTCTAAGAGAGGGTACTAGAATTGTTCATCTTGTTTATGTCTGAGAGTGAGTGCTAGAATTGTTCATCTTGTTTATGTCTGAGAGTGAGTGCTAGAATTGTTTATCTTATTTATGTCTGAGAGTGAGTGCTAGAATTGTACATCCTGTTTATGTCTGAGAGTGAGTGCTAGAATTGTTCATATTTTTTATGTCTGAGAGTGAGTACTAGAATTGTTCATCTTGTTTATGTCTAAGAGTGAGTGCTAGAATTGTTCATCTTATTTATGTCTGAGAGTGAGTGCTAGAAATGTTAATCTTTTTTATGTCTGAGAGTGAGTGCTAGAATTGTTCATCTTATTTATGTCTGAGAGTGAATGCTAGAATTGTTCATCTTTTTTTATGTCTGAGAGTGAGTGCTAGAATTGTACATCCTGTTTATGTCTGAGAGTGAGTGCTAGAATTGTTCATATTTTTTATGTCTGAGAGTGAGTGCTAGAATTGTTCATCTTGTTTATGTCTAAGAATGAGTGCTAGAATTGTTCATCTTATTTATGTCTGAGAGTGAGTGCTAGAAATGTTAATCTTTTTTATGTCTGAGAGTGTGCTAGAATTGTTCATCTTATTTATGTCTGAGAGTGAGTGCTAGAATTGTTCATCTTTTTTATTTCTGAGAGTGAGTGCTAGAATTGTTCATCTTGTTTATGTCTAACAGTGAGTGCTAAAATTGTTCATCATTTTTATTTCTGAGAGTGAGTGCTAGAATTGTTCGTCTTGTTTATGTCTAACAGTGAGTGCTAGAATTGTTTATCTTTTTTTTTATTTCTGAGAGTGAGTGCTAGAATTGTTCATCCTGTTTATGTCTGAGAGTGAGTGCTAGAATTGTTCATCTTTTTTATGTCTGAGAGTGAGTACTAGAATTGTTCATCTTGTTTATGTCTAACAGTGAGTGCTAGAATTGTTCATCTCATTTATGTCTGAGAGTGAATGCTAGAATTGTTCATCTTATTTATGTCTGAGAGTGAGTACTAGAATTGTTCATCTTATTTATGCCTGAGAGTAGTTGCAAGAATTACGTATCTTGTTTATGTCTGAGAGCAGTTGCAAAAATTACTTATCTAGTTTATGCGTGAGGCGATGGTTCTCACCTTCCACCCATACCTCCCAGGTTGGGCAAAGCAGTTAATAAAAGTGCCAGAGGATGTAAACGAGTACTCGGCCTTGTAAAAACACGAGCCACCTGTCAACGAGGCCACCAGGTGGGTCCCACGTTCATTGATACCTACCTGTTATACCCGGGTCTAATGAGGGCCAACTGTGGGATATCTTGTTCGTTGTGTTGCTCCTTCATTCTTGACATTGTTTGGATGTTTTCGCCACTTTACGCGATTTAACTGCGATCTAGATAGGCGTATGTGGCATGGGAGTTTGTGGACGCAGTTTCCAAAATCCAACATACCGGGTTAGATTCTCCTTCTTCTTGTTGTTCGCATCCTCCTCATTCTTCTTCTTCTTCTTCTTCTTCTTCTTCTTCTTCTTCTTCTTCTTCTTCTTCTTCTTCTTCTTCTTCTTCTTCTTCTTCTTCTTCTTCTTCTTCTTCTTCTTCTTCTTCTTCTTCTTCTTCTTCTTCTTTTTTTCGTAAAAAACTTCTTCTTCTTCTTCTTCTTCTTCTTCTTCTTCTTCTTCTTCTTCTTTTCTTCTTCTTCTTCTTCTTCTTCTTCTTCTTCTTCTTCTTCTTCTTCTTTGCTTGACTTCTTCTTCTTCTTCTTCTCTTCTTCTTCTTCTTCTTCTTCTTCTTCTTTTCTTCTTTCTTTCTTTCTTTCTTTCTTTCTTTCTTTCTTTCTTTCTTTCTTTCTTTCTTTCTTTCTTTCTTTCTTTCTTTCTTTCCCTCTTTCTTTCTTTTCTTTCTTTCTTTTACTTTTTTCTTTCTTTCTTTCTTTCTTTCTTTCTTTCTTTCTTTCTTTCTTTCTTTCTTTCTTTCTTTCTTTCTTTCTTTCTTTCTTTCTTTCTTCTTTCTTTCTTTCTTTCTTTCTTTCTTTCTTTCTTTCTTTCTTTCTTTTCTTTCTTTCTTTCTTTCTTTCTTTCTTTCTTTCTTTCTTTCTTTCTTTCTTTCTTTCTTTCTTTCTTTCTTTCTTTCTTTCTTTTCTTCTTTCTTTCTTTCTTTCTTCTCTTTCTTTCTTTTCTTTCTTTCTTTCTTTCTTTCTTTCTTTCTTTCTTTCTTTCTTTCTTTCTTTCTTTCTTTCTTTCTTGAGGATTTCTTTCTTTCTTTCTTTCTTTCTTTCTTTCTTTCTTTCTTTCTTTCTTTTCCTTCTTTCTTTCTTTCTTTCTTTCTTTCTTTCTTTCTTTCTTCTTTCTTTTTTCTTCTTCTTCTTCTTCTCTTCTTCTTCTTCTTCTTCTTCTTCTTCTTCTTCTCCTTCTCCTTCTTTCTTCTTCTTCTTCTTCTTCTTCTTCTTCTTCTTCTTCTTCTTCTTCTTCTTCTTCCTTCTTCTTCTTCTTCTTCTTCTTCTTCTTTTTTCTGTCTTCTTCGTCTTTCTTATTCTTCTTCTTCTTCTTCTTCTTCTTCTTCTTCTTCTTCTTCTTCTTCTTCTTCTTCTTCTTCTTCTTCTTCTTCTTCTTCTTCTTCTTCTTCTTCTTCTTCTTTTTCTTCTTTTTTTCTTTTTCTTTCTTTCCTTCTTCTTCTTCTTCTTCTTCTTCTTCTTCTTCTTCTTCTTCTTCTTCTTCTTCTTCTTCTTCTTCTTCTTCTTCTTCTTCTTCTTCTTCACATGTGTATGATGAGCATTCACAAGAACGAGACTTAAGTCCGGAGGTGGAATAACAACCAGAACTTCCCGCCAGAGTTTCACCCTGTAAACACCAAAAAGAAGAAAAAGAAAAAGATGCTGCATTAAACGTAGAACCGACACACAAAATTGATGACAACTTCCTGTGTATTACTTCCCCTAGGTACTCGAGAAGCTGCCTTTGTACACTCTATCTCTTCTGCTGGGGTGGCCCATGCAGTTACTCGGGCCTGCAGCTCAGGGCATCTACAAAAGTGTGGCTGCGACCGGACAGTCAAAGGCAGCAGCCAGGAGGGGTTTCAGTGGTCAGGCTGCTCGGACAATATCGCCTACGGCATCGCCTTTTCCAAAATCTTCGTGGACGCCCGAGAACGAGGCAGCAAGAACCGAAGTAGGCCAAGGTCGATAATGAATTTGCACAACAACGAGGCGGGCAGAAGGGTAAGTTCATGGCGTGTTCAAATGTATACTCTATATTCACAATGTGTATGTTCTATACCCATAAGGTGTATGTTCTATAACCATAAGGTGTATGTTCTATATTCATGAGGTGGATGTTCTATATTTATAAGGTGGATGTTCTACATCTAACATGGTGTATGGTCTATACACATAAGGTTATCTTCTATATCCATGGTCTATACACAAAAGGTGTATGTTCTATATTCATTAAATATATGTTGAATGACCATATTGTATGTTCTATATTCATATGGTGTATGTTCTATATTCGTTAAATGTACATTCATTAACTATGTTCTATGTTCCATGAACATGTCCACAAGAATAGAACATAACAAGGAATTCTTTTCGATGTCCTATTGGGTTTGTCCAGGTGAACAGTAAAAATTCTAGCCTTCACCAGGGCCCGAACCAGGAACCTCTAGAACTCAAGGCGGATACCATACCCCGAGACCACGCAGCCCCCTACCTGTTCTACAATAAGGGGAGTAGATTGCGAGACCATTTAAACGGGCTAAGTTCAACATGCAGAAGATATAACATAAAAATTAATACTACTAAAACTGAAGTATTGCAGGTTAGCAGAATTCCCAGTCGGCTACATATTGGGTTAAAAGGTACTTGTTTGAAGCAATTAAAGAATTTAAATAGGTAGGAAGTATATTCTCAGAGGACGGGAGAATAGATCGGGAAATAGAAGCAAGATGACAAAAAAGTCAGTGCCCTAATGTACCGACTGACACCGTTAATAAGACATCCAAATATGAGCGCCGAGAAACAGATTAAAAACAGCGTATTCATACCAACACCGTACTACCAGTACCAGACTTGAACATAATCAAAGGTTAACCTACGTAAAATTAACACTTATGAAATGAGATGCCTGAGAAAAGCCTCCAACTTGACCATCCCCAGACAAAGTTAGAAATGATATTATCAGACAGACTGTAGGTACAACAACATGCAGCAAATTCATTGAGAAACAGAAGATAACATTTAGAAAGAACGCAGCCTGAACAACTACCAACCCAGGCGCTACACGTGAAAAGATACGAAGCGAAAGCAGGAGGCCGTCCTAGGAGAAAACGGATTTGTGGCATTGAAGAGCTTCTGCATCGACAAGGAATGACAATAGCCAATGCTGCTCATCGGGCAATGGATCGCATATTGTTCCTCCCCACAACGCTTAACGACAGCAGTGGAAATCAATGAAAATGATCCCACCTAATTTGCATTTTATTGCCGGGGTCACATAATATACCTATAGATACTAGTTGTTACATTACAGCCAATATTGACTGATTGATATTTAACCCCACCCGGACACCACACGGAGCGATAAACACCCTGTGACAAAAAGTGCCACCATTCGGATGAGGATCACCCGTGGAGAGGTCCCAGAAACCCCGTTCAACCCATAGGTTGAATTATATTAGGGTCCCCTAACAACAACGGTGGGGTTAGAAAATAACTAAAAATTCGTCCCACACGGGGAGGGGTTTCTATTTCTTACAGCTAACATTTGTAATAGGTAAGTTGTACCCCACTAGGACATTACACAAGCGACAAACACCCGGTGATACAAAGTGTCAGCATGCGGATGAGAATCACCCGTGAAGAGGTCCCAGAAACCCCTTTCACCCACTAGTCCATATTTATGGCCCGTCTATATTTAGGGCCTCCGGCAAAAGCCAGAGTAGGGCTTTAATTGGGGCTTCAAAATAACTAAACATTACATCCCGTATGGGGACGAATACATGCAAACAACCAACATTGTAGTAGTAGTAGTAGTAGTAGTAGTAGTAGTAGTAGTAGTAGTAGTAGTAGTAGTAGTAGTAGTAGTAGTAGTAGATTATACCCCACTAGGACATCACACAAGCGATAAACACCCGGTGACACACGGTGCCACCATGCGAATGAGGATCACATGCGGAGAGGTCACAGAAAGCGCGTTTAGCCATTGGCCATATTTATGGTCGGGTTATATTGTGACACCACAGGGGGATGACTTGAATATTGCCAACATTGTTTGTTCAACACAAGAAAATGTAACAGTAGCTGGCAGACCTTGTGCGTTTACTGCTATCAGTACTGCATCTTTTGAAGTATGAACAAAACAACATGTTTACAGCATATCTTCTAAATGATATTCCTGATTTGTTTTTGATCTCCTTCATTAATACTTTAATGCTCAGATAGAAGAGGCTTGTAGACAAAACAAATCCTTGGTTCATAGATTCAGTCTTCTCTTAATTGTTGATATTACTTCCCATTATAATTGATGAACCTTGTTTCGTCTTTGCATAATTGTCGATATTACTTCCTATTATAATTAATGAACCTTGATTCCAGTTAAAAATTATCTGTATTATTCTTAAATCTTTCTTGTCAATTTGAATTAATTGTGACTAGGTTATGTGCGCAATATAAAACGGCTTAGCCCGCCACAAACAGCCATAAAAAGGACTCCAGCAGTGTTAATGCAATCAAAGGAGTCAGATCCAAATAATGTTCCGACCGGCGACGAAGTCGTCGATGGGCGACCAGGTTGCTGATGCCGAGAATAAATCAGACAGATGTTTTAGTAAAAGTGAAACCTGGCGAGCTTCAGCTACGCCCAGGTAACGAAAAGAGACAGACAAAAAAGAAAAGGAAAACCAGAATTTAAGACTCCCGAAGTCTTATTGAGAAGGGGACTTTCCTGGCAAACAATAACATCTCCCCCTTCTCCATTCCCAGTACCTTTCTAGAAGGCACTCGACTTTTCTCAAGAAAGTAAAACGAGGTTAAGTTTTCATTTATTTCATGTAATTGCTTTTATATATTTCTATTTTAGTATTAAACCATAAATAAAGTATTTTTACAACCCCATCGATGTATAATATGCCAAAAACAATAACATGTGTCACTTCATGGGAGCGGCTTAATTTTGTTCTTCTTCCTTTCTAACCCCCAGTGGAGCATAGGCCCTCAACCAACTCATGCCAAGTCATGCTATTTTAATGTCGCTCTCTATCTCCCTTCTCCGTGTAGTGTTTTTTTTTTTTTTGGGGGGGGGGGGGGGGGGATCTACCTTTATTTTGATGACCCTGTGGGTTCCAGTGCAAAGACATTCTAGTTATATTGTTCTCAGGTTTTCTCAACGGAATAATCGTTCTCCATTTTTTTCTTATGGGAAAATTCGTTTGGCATACGTACTGTTTGGGGTATACGTACTGTTTGGGGTATACGTACTGTTTGGGGTATACGTATTGTTTGGGGTATACGTATTGTTTGTGGTATACCTATTGTTTGGGGTATACGTACTGTTTGGGGTATACGTATTGTTTGTGGTATTCGTATTGTTTGTGGTGTACGTATTGTTTGTGGTATACGTATTGTTTGTGGTATACGTATTGTTTGTGGGATACATACTGTTTGTGGTATACGTACTGTTTGTGGTATACGTATTGTTTGGGGTATACGTATTGTTTGTGGTATACGTATTGTTTGGGGTATACGTACTGTTTGTGGTATACGTACTGTTTGTGGTATACGTATTGTTTGTGGTATACGTATTGTTTGTGGTATACGTATTGTTTGTGGTATACGTATTGTTTGTGGTATACGTATTGTTTGTGGGATACGTACTGTTTGTGGTATACGTACTGTTTGTGGTATACGTATTGTTTGGAGTATATGTATTGTTTGTGGTATACGTATTGTTTGGGGTATACGTACTGTTTGTGGTATACGTACTGTTTGTGGTATACGTATTGTTTGTGGTATACGTATTGTTTGGGGTATACGGGCAGGCATCAGGCACTGATTGTATTAAACCCATGTACTACTAATGTCTACGTCATTAATAAATTATCTGATGCTGCTTGTCGTTAGAACATGTGATAAACATGGTTGGAGCGTTGTTTCCGAGACGCAGCGCTGCAATAACATTCCCCATTTATTCTTCTAAGCATTTACCGTCTGTAAACTCCCGCCAAAAACTTTTGGTTGTTCGTCCACTTCTGGACTTTGGTCGTGTTCCAGCAGTTAAGTTCTACGTGTACATCCATTTTACCAATCTGGCTAATTAGTAAGCAGACTGTTGGTTCCTTGCCTGTCAGACAGATACATTCTAACTTCTAAGTTTCAGTTTTGAGGTTTGAACAATGGACCAACATCATGGCACACGGGTAGTAACCCATAAGTGCTCCGTTCTTCTTCTATCTCAAGTCTGAGTCCGAAGAAGCTCAGCACAGTGAACAGGCTCTGTAGCATCGGCGAGGATCCTGAAATACTTTGGATAGATTATTAACTCCAAATTTGTCCAAGGAGCAGCGCCGTTAGGCTACTCTTTTCGATTTTCAACTGCCAAGGGTTTTTTTTTTCTGTGCCCAACAATGCACACGGGCGTCTGATCTTACTAGCCACAGACCAAGGGAAAATTACTATAAGTCCAAGTCCACGTGACAAAATCCAAGCCCTTACCCCCCCCCCCCCCCCACCCTCCTTCCACCCATTGACTAGACTGGGGCACCAGAACATGCACGGAAAACTCACTGTAACAACATCCATTCGATTTCTTCGTTTCGTTTTTATTAATGCTATGGGTTACAAAGCGTGCGGCGCCAGTGGCTCAGACGTTGCGAGTCCGCCTGGTGATTCCGACGTACCGCGATCGAAACCCACTGCTAGCTGCGTGGATTTTTGTCGTGGTATGGGCCGTCGACCTAGCCTAATATAGGTACCAGTATGTATGTCCTGGGGAAGTAAAGACGGCCGGGATAATGCTGACCATATTACCCACCTAGTGCCGATTGGTCTGTAAAAATATGGGTGTTCTTCCCATCTGCCCGATGCGCGTTAAGGGATCTTTACTTTTGACCTATGTTTACAAGTAAACTTTCTACTTCCTTCTATGGGTGCCGATCAATACATTGTTTGCCTATATATATATATAGGGTATACTAAAATATAGGGTAGCTATAATAATGTCACTG